CGACATAAAATAGTTGTGTAACTAGAATATGGAGAAAGAACAACAATACTGAGTCGATTGCATTAAATTGAATACATAATCAGATAAAATCCACATGGAAACTAAATTCCTGAAGCTAACTGTATACCATGTAGCACAAAAAATTCCTTCATAAAAGGTATAATATTAAATACCCTATCGAGCTACATAATAAAACTTTTTCGGAATTAATATTCCATTATCAGTGCTATCCTAAAAGTATACCCACTTTAATTAAAAATAATATGAAATTTAAAATTTTAACCAGGCTTAATACAAAAATTTGGTTAATACTTACTGGATGTACATGTTTTGAGTCACTAAATACTTTTGTAAAAACCCTTCAAATGTTGTTAAATTAAATTTGAAATACATTATTTGATTTTATATACTAGAATGTTTAAGTTAAAAGACCACTAGAGGTTGCTAATCCTGAGACAAAGTGTCTACGAGAACTTGTTGATAGCAACTGATTGAAATGACAATAATGACAGGTTAGGACGAAATTCGGAACAAAGCAGTTAATGTAACTTTAGGTAATTGTCTAAATATGACAGTAGACAGCAATAGTTGACCAAACCAAGGGTTACAGGAAGCCGAACAACTAGCCCAGGACAGAGAAGGATGAAAGAAAATCGTGAAAAAAACTGTGAAGGCCTGATGGTGTCACCACATCCCAAAAGGAATAAGGACTCAGGAGGAAGAGCCAGCAATATTTAAAAATTGAATATGTTAAAATTATAATAGTGATTACACTAGCAACCATCAATATGTTGTAGATTGAAGTATGAATTTATCCTAAACTTACGTTGGGAAATTTTAGAAAATTCATCAAAAATGTAGGTGAACTGAAGTGTGGTAAAAGGTTCTTGTGGGTACTGGTAGGCAAACAACTATACAGATATCTAAATTCAGTGGTGGTGAACTAAAGATTTCTACAAAAAGCCCTTTATGTGTTTTCAATATTTGGTAACTGGAATATGGAAAGATACGTGTAGCAAGTTGGGTTCTTTAAATTTACTGCAATGACATGAACTTATTAATAATAATGATATACTTGAAATTATTGCAGAGTGAAATTAAAATTGTTTATAATCAGATAAGTTCTACAATACATAATTGCACAAGATTTCTACTATCATACTACTATAAAGATCATTCATTCAACCGCTCCAAATATCTCTACATTGCAATTCATTATATAGAGAAAAACCCCAACCACATAGACTTGTAGAAAGACGGATGGTAAGGTTCCACAATCTGAGAGAATGTTTTAATTGATTGTCTAACCATCGTTTTAGCACTTCAATAAGAAGGAAAGGATTACAAAAAATTTATTTAAAATCCTTTATAAAAGGTATATAATAAAATGCCCAAACGGGCTATCACAAAGATATTGCAAAACGTTTTCGGATTATTAAATCCATCATCAGTCCAAACGAGGTATACATGCTATGAGCCACCAAAATATATGGGTCCAAACCCTTTAAATGATATAAATTTATATATGCTTTACATTATATGTGGTTACAAATTATGATGTTTAAGTTACCGTTGGAATTGGTAACATGGCGACGTATCACCCTACATAGGTAAAATGGTCCTGAATGTAGGGTCATACGTCGCCATGTAACCAATTCCAACGGTAACTTAAACATCATAATTTGTAACCACATATAATGTAAAGCAAATGTAAATTTATATCATTTAAAAGGTTTGGAAAAATATATTTTGGTGGCTCATAGCATGTATACCTCGTTTGCACTGATGATGGATTTAATAATCCGAAAACGTTTTGCAATATCTTTGTGATAGCCCGTTTGGGCATTTTATTATATACCTTTTATAAAGGATTTGAAATAAATTTTTTGTGATATATGGTATACAGCCAGCTACAGGAACTTAGTTTCCTAGTGGAAAGGATTACATTTAAAATAGTAGACTTATATGTATACATTGGTTAAATCCGCAAATAATTTCAAATAATAGAACGTAGATAGAATATTCTTCTTCATGTACCATATCCTATCAGAACGTTGGTAACCATCATAGCTATCCTAATTTTATTCACTGCCACTCTAAGTAGCATGCTTGTATCAATAGCATATCAACATCGCAAATTCTTCAACCATGAAATCTTTCTTCGTCCCGGAATTCGTTGGCCTACTATTTTCCTCTGAATAATTTTTTGGGGCGCTCTATATTTGAGACCTCTTATTACATGTCTGAAGTACGACAGCTTTCTCTTCTTGATGCTTTTTATAATCTCAGTAGTCTTGGATAGACGTTCTAATATTGAGGAGTTTCGAATCCCCTTCACCTAAGAAACTTTTCAAAATTTTTAAATAGCACCAAATTTCGAAAGCCTCAAGGCGATTTAGATCACTTCTACTCGCAGTCCAAGAATCGAGACCATAAAGTAAGATCTGGATCACGCAGCAGCGAAGTAGAGAGATCCGCGATGTCAATTTTAGGTCTCTGTTACCTAATACTCTGAGCATCCTTCTAAAAGCGGCACTGGCCTGCTCAATTCTGGATCTAATTTCACCATGACTTTCTGCGTTACGGTTTAATGATATACAAGGTAAACAAATTGATAAGCTTGCTCAAGTTTGGTACTATTTACATATATAGACGGTTTTATGTCATATTGTTTACTTTGGCGTATTTTGGTTTTCCGTATGTTCAGAACAAGACCCGCTTCCTTACAGCTCTTCTCTACAGTTTGCAGATCTTCTTGAGTAGATGCTGGAAGTAATAATGTCATCCGCATATCGAAAATTATTAATAACTTCACCGTTCACTTCTTGTTATTTATTCCTTATTTATTATTATTAATCGATTATTCCTTCTTGTTTTTCAGAAAGTGAGTGATTTTGATTTACCGCAATTATTGTGCGCATAGGGGTCATCATCATTCATCATCATCCAGCCACATTTTCACATCCATTGTTGGATATAGACCTCCTCCAAACGTCTCCAGTTCTCTCTATATCTAGTTGCTGCAATTCAGTTTGTTTTTATTCTCCTTAGGTCGTCGGTCCATCGAGTGAATGGTCTGCCTCGACTTCGCTTGTCGGCTCTTGGTCTCCACTTCAATAATCTCTTCGTCCATCTTCCGTCTTCCATTCTAGCAACATGTCAGCCCACCTCCACTTTTGTTTATTGATTCGCAGTATAATATCGTCTACGCCAGTTCGTCGGCGTATCTCCTCATTTCTCACGCGATCTTTCAAGGTCAGGCCCAGCATTGATCTCTCCATTCGCCTTTGTGTTGCCCTCAGTTTTTCGGCAGTAGCTTTCGTTAAAGTTAGGGTCTCTGCTCCGTAGGTCAAGACTGGTAAGATGCATTGGTTAAATGCCTTCCTTTTCAGGTGAATTGGAATATTTGTTTTAAAAATGTTTCTCATCCTTCCATATGCCGCCCATCTCAACGTGATTCGTCTATTTAGCTCGCATAGGGGTGCTCCCCTAAATATTAATAAGGAAAGAGGTTGGTAAGAAGAACAAAAGGAAAGAGGTCGGAAAAGAGGAAAGAGGAGGTAATAGTAATTGCAACCTACGTAATAATTCATAGTATACTTTAACAGAAAAAAGCGGGTTAAAACAATTTTTAACGAAAATCAATTTGTACAGTGTACGGGCACAACGGCTACATTTACAAATACCGTCCAAACTGAGCAACTTGGCGCGTAAATATCCTTTGATATCGTCCAGAAACCGACTACTGACACATGGTATTCGTGCGCATTAACTTTATGTGGGCACACGTACAGACTTGAGCATTTTTGCGCGCACAGCCTTAAGGAAGACAAATAGAATATTAAAATACCCAATAATCATTCATTAAAATATCCAATATCACTCTACTTAATGTTCACAAGGAATCTACGTTCCTGTAGTTGGCTGTATACCATATATTAAAAAAAAATTAAAAATCCTTTGTAAAAGGTATATATTTAAGAACCCAAACGGGCTAAGTTAAACAGACAAAACGTTTTCGGAATCCATATTCCATCATTAGTGTCTAGTAGTACATTAATGTAGCCACTAAATGTATGGGTAAAAATCCGTTAACAAATAATTAATTACATTTAGTTTACAAAATTTCTTATAATAAATTAAGATGTTAAAGTTTTACTTATAATGATTTCTTATAATGATTTAAGATGTTACCTAATCCAACGGTAACTTTAACATCTTAAATCATTATAAGAAATTTTGTAAACTAAATGTAATTAATTATTTGTTAACGGGTTTTTACCCATACCTACATTTAGTGGCTACATACATGTACTCCTAGACACTGATGATGGAATATGGATTCCGAAAACGTTTTGTCTGTTTAACTTAGCCCATTTGGGTTCTTAAATATATACCTTTTACAAAGGATTTTTAATAAATTTTTTTGCTACTTAATGTGTTACTTGAGCGTAGGCAACTCCTCTACACATATTTGTGTAGGAAGGACTTTCGAAACGACGACCTGAGCAATATTTTTGATTTTTGTAGCAGGGATCAAACCCACGTCATTCAGCATTAAATGCGAACCAGGTTTAATCTATTTAGGCCACAAAAAAAGCAGCTAAAACCATAACTGCAATATCAAAATCACAGAAAACAAATCTAATAAGACTAATAATAAAAAAGAAGCCTAAGAACTTTTATAATCTGGATGATAAAATTGACCAAGAAACAATAGCAAAAAGAAATGAAACAGAAAACATAGCAGCAAAAAAATACCAGAAAATCCCTTCCATGAGTGAAAATGAGATTAGAGACAAGAAGATAGACAATCTGAACTCTGTATAATCCAGATTTGTAAAAAATAAAAGAACGTGGTAACTCACTGAAAGACATAAGGACAATTAGAAAATATTAGAGGAGTATCCCGTCAGAAATCGACCAGACAAAAAAAAAGTCATCTTGAATGTTTTCATGCACTGCATTTGCTTATTTTCGGTGTATGATGTAGAACTTACTTTGCATTATTATCTCTAGAAATTCCTTCATACCTTTTAAATTGTTCGGAATAATTAACAGCATCCTCACAACAGTGTTTACACTCTGCAAAATCATCCGAAGAAAAAGTATATTTGATTTTTTCTACGACTGGTGAAAACAACGACCACTTGGAACTGTGTCGCGACAGATCTTTGCGTTCATACATCGCAGAAACTCGACAAATACTGACATTAATTATTAACATACCAGTGCGAGATTGTTCTGAATTAAATAATAACATTGTTTATGGCTCGACTTTTATGGATTTAGATAAAAATACAGCGTGAATGAAGAACGTTGGGAAATGCAAAGTTCGAATTGATAAGTATGGTATTTTAAAACCAGTGTGGTTTGAGATTCAGGGAATATCTTATAGTATCGTATCATATAATCATAAACCACTGGCTTAACATGTTACGATTCACGATGATTGACTATTTATATTGCCTTCTATCGGATGACAGCACAAATTATGAGTAATTTATATTACATAAAATAACATTGATAAAAAAATTTGTACAAAAATAGAACACATTAGTTTTTTGCGATATTTTTATTATTGTCACAAACATTTTATGCTTAAAAGTACAAAGAAATTGTACTCATAATACAGGAGACTTTTCATATATACTGAAGTAGAACATGCTATAAATAATGCTAAAATTAGAAAAGCTTGTGGTCCAGATGATACACCAACTGAGTTGCTGAAACTAATAAAGAATGATAACATAAAAGTAGTAGTAAGACTTTTTAATTCAATATATAACACCCGAGTGATTCCCGCAGATTGGCTCAAATCCATCTTTATCTCAATACCTAAAAAACACAATCAGAGAAAATGCTCAGAATATTGATTAATTAGCCTAATGAGCCACACTCTTAAAATTTTCCTCAGAATACTTCACAACAGAATTAGACGCAAATGCGAAGAAGATCTTTAAGATACCCAATTTGGTTTTAGAAATGCTATGGGAGCAAGGGAGGGACTTTTTACGCTTAACATCCTATTACAAAAATGCCGTGACCAAAGAAAAGGTGTATTTGCATATTTCGTGGACTTCGAAAAGGCATTCGATAAAGTTGAGCATGTAAAATTAATGCAAATACTGAAAAATATTGGAATAGATGACAAGGATATTCGTGTTATTAAAAATTTGTACTGGAATCAAACTGCTGTTGTAAAAATTGGAGATAACTACACCGATGAAATCCCCATACAACGAGGGGGATTTGCATTTTGTCGCCAACATTGTTCAATGTTTACTCGGACCAGTTATTTAAAAAGGCACTTAAGAGACAACCCTATGGAATAAAAATCAACGGGGAACTACTTAATGTGATTAGTAGACTTCGGCAAATATGCATATTGCATATTTTGCATATTGTGCATATTTTATGCAAATATTTCATATTTTGGCATATTTGTATAAAAGTTTGCATAAACTGCATAAAAGTTCAGATTTTTATACTGTATTTGAAAATTTTTAAACATACCAATTTATTTCAATTCTTGTATAAAATTTTGTAGTCATTTTAATCAAGAAATGATCTAAGTACGTAATCTCTACAGGTACAAAACATTTACAATTTCAAAGAAGATCAATTTAAGTAGCCCTCAACATTCTTAGAAAGTCTCGGTCACTGAGGCATTCAGTTATTGGATAATCGCTAAGGGTTCGCTCATTTGCATTTTATGATCTAATCCCCAAATCTATCTACAATTTATTGTATCTTAACAGCAGGTAAACGGCTAATAGCTTTGTTCCTAATTTAGGGATTTTCCAAAATCTCCCAGTTTATTGAATTAGGTACCTAAACATTTCTAATTTGATGCTCAGATTTGTAAGTCATTTTTGTTTTGATATTCAAAGCGTAAACACTCGTTGTGCGTAACAAAAAGGAAGATTGTGATTTTATAATGGCTAAAACAACCAGTGCTTCAACTTGGATTAAACCTTATAAAGAGCTGTCTATGGATATGGGAAAAATCTACTGTTCAGTCTTTGGCAAAATTGTAAGTATCTAATATTTTCTATTAAATATCTAATATATTTCATACATACAGGGTGTTTCCAAATGACAGTTACAACGTTTGACTGTAGATACTTCTCGAAAAATTGAACAAAACGATATAGTTAATGAGGGGTCAAACTTATTTACTTTTCGAGATACAGGGTGTTAAAATTTAAAAAAAATTAAATTCTTTTAGTTAACACTTTAACTCCTGGGCCTATTTATCTGCATAAGTTGTCACAGCCTGGCCACTTTTTTTTCATGTTCTCTAATAAAATGCTCTATATGTATGTGTTAATTCATATAATGACATTTTTTTTTATTTAAAAAGGGCTTTGTAGGGTGTGTTTATTTTTGATACACGCAGTTCATGTAGACGACTTTTCATAATGTCATTACCCATAGCCTAGATGTATTGAAATTGATACACATTATTTATGAAACTTTATTACGAAAAAACATAAGCAAACATCTTAACAAATTATTTTAAATATACATTATGTGTTTTAAAAAAACAAATGTTACAAATAAATTTTTTTTCTCTACATTCAGTGCCAGTACACCTAGTGTTGCACTGTTTGGAATTCTTAGATGCATGTGCGCGACCAAAGGATTTTGCCTGTGTGCTGTAACATATAACACATCGTCCTCTTTTGTCATATTCTGCCAGCCTATGGTGTGTTTGTTGAGGGTTTGTAACATTATTGTCTTTGCAAATGGCAGTCACTAATTCTTCGCGAAATTGTGTTACATCCAATTTTGTGTTCAAAGCTTTGTTATATAGGATTAAAGCATTCACTATGGCTGTATTTGTCAGTAACTCTATTCCCACTATCCGATACCATTTTATAGAACGTCTGATGGGATTACTGTAGGAAGCTTTTTGATTAGAGACGTCAATGTAAGATTTAACAGAATTATATTCTACTATTGTAGACGGTTTTCTTTTTATTCCTGATTTTGTACGAACGTCGACCATTTCTGGACAAGATTTTGTAGTCAAAAATGTTACCTCTCTTTTGTCGATCCATTTTTCTACAATAACTTTTGTGTTGCTCTGTAGGGCCATCATATCTCCTTTATTTAGCTTTGCTTCAAACACCGACTTAGGATTGTATTTCCTATTTTTACGAAGTGTTCCAACTAGATGAATATTGTTATCATTTAGTTCGTGTGCCAAACTGACACTAGTATAAAAATTGTCCGTAACCAAAGTTCTTCCTGAGTGTAGAAAAGGTTGCATTAATTCCATGACCACTAGGGATGCTAGTGATTGTTCCTTTGGTCTATTTTGCTTTCCGCGATAAATTTTTGCGTGATATGTGTAGCCGCCTTTTCCGCAGAGTTTGAAAACTTTTACGCCATATTTATTACATTTGCCAGGTATGTACTGTAAAAATGACAGACGTTCTCTAAAGGGAATCATCGATTCATCAATGCAAACGTATTTGCCTGGTACCAAAGCAGATTGAAAACTTCTATTAAACGCCTGCAATAATGGTTCAACTTTGAACAATCTGCTTCCTTCAGGACAAGCTTCATTATCTGAAAAATGGAAGCAAGCAAGAAGAGCCTCAAATTTACACCTCGACATGTTTGTCGTCTTGTATATTGAGCAATGATGGATAAAATTAGTGCTCCAGTAATCTCGTAGACGTGGTTTTGTATTCAAACCCATCCATATTAAAATTCCCAAAAATTTTAATATTTCTTCTCTGTTAGTATCATTCCAGTTAGTGAGATATGAATTTGTCTTAACGTTTTCACGATTTATAGCATCAATAATTTTTTGTTCAGCATATCGATTTGTTTCCTTCACTAAAATATCGAGTATCTCGTCTGTTAGGAGCAGTCTATAAAACGTTAAAGGTGTATCATTTTCCCTACTTTCTACAACTGTACCAAAAGAAGTATTTTCATGTATAACGTCAAATGTATTCAAATTTCCATCAACATTGTTCCATATAACATTTGCCTGTAAATTCCCTATACGAGGATTTACCATATCTATATTGTTTACATCTTCAATTTCAGATTCACTTTCGCTTATTTGCAAATTAAACTGTTCATGTTGAATTCTAGGTTGACTTGTAACATTATCATCCTAAAATAATTCAAAATTAGATATAACATTTGAAATTTATACGGAACTATATACTTGCCTTAAGTGTTTCCATTTTCTGCCGTTTTGTTTGTGGTTCATAATCTGAATCTGAAGAGTATTCAAGGGTATCAGAACTATCAGTGTATAATGGATCGACATCTGAATCATCAAATTCACAATCACTTATTTCGCTAAGATTTTCAGCCAGATGCTCAAGTTCATGTAAAGAAAGGTTTCTCTTGTTATTTTTAGACATTGTACATAAACAAACCCGACTACAATGAAGGTCTAACAATGCCACTATTGCAACTCGACAATTTCGTGTCTCCAAATTTTATCTACAATGTTGCCAATTTTAATATGCTAGGATTACCGAACTAACATTGAAAATTGGTTACCACAGCCTAAAGGAATGATAATACACGTATAAATACACTACAACTGCGTTCGGACCACATACACAGTCGCTTGAATGCGTTCTACTCTTGTGTATCAAATTCATACACACAGGCTCAGAGAGAGTACCTATTGTGTATTATGTATGATACACATAGGAGTCAAAGTGTTAATAACAACAATAACTTTAAAACCAATAAACGTATTTACTTGAAATTTAGTACTCTTAGGTTGTTTTTAAATGAAAAATAGCTTCCTTTAGTGAGAAAAAATTGTCCATGGTACAATACAATGGTGTGTATTTAGAAAAATTTTTCACCTTTACTTTTTTTATGAAGTCAGCTATTCTAAAACACAATTATTTTTATTGTAATTGAATTAACAAAAAAAAAACTTTTGTTGAATGTTAAAATAAGTTATATGATGTACTAATGGTTAGTAACAAAAACTAATTTGTGGATTAATACTGCATTTAAAACACTTAGCGAGTGTTTTTTTTTCCAAACCAGTTATTTGATTAACCAAAAACACCTTGTATATTTTTATGTTTTAAAGGTTGGGTTAAAATAAAGGTTTTTATTTTTATTTATAGATAGCATGTGAGAAGAAATTTCAGATAGACCAACATGTGAGAACTGCTTCACATATTGCAA